CAACGTTTCAGAGGTCATACTGCCTCCGTCATCAGGGTGATGAATCACCCTGATGACGGAGGCAGTATGACCTCTGAAACGTTGTTAAACATCTACCATACTACACGGCGCAACAACCCATAAGACAAAAATCTTCATACTCACCGCTGTGAAAACCTCAAATCATACAAATAAAGTTTTGCATCTATTGATGCAGACACCCATCTCCCACTGTGAGAGCTGGACCATGCTCAGATGCAATGACATGAGTGTTCCATGCACCTATATCCCACGATGGCCCCACAAATAACAAATGTAGATACCACAAGCAAGCTCTTGGTAGAGGTGCAAGCAACCTAATTAATTTACATTTAAAAAGACACTTAATCTGCATTGCACTTATCACATCTGAGCGCCATCCTTCAGGATGGACCTCACGCACGTTCATGCCTCCTTGAGTTTCGGCAGTGTGTTCAATTTGGGTTTCATCAGGTTTAGCTCATAAAAGGCAGAAGCTAACATCTATTGAATAACATCCCCTGCTGCATTCAATTAAGTTCACGCTCCATTATTAGAATAGTATTTGTTTAAAATTATTGTGAAATTTCAATCATTCTCTGCCATGAGTACTACAATTAATGTGACACATATTACTTTGCAATGGATGGGGAGACCCTGAGGAGAAACTCCTGGCCTCAATATCAAAATCTGAAGCATTTCATCATGGTACTACTAATATTATAAAAAACAAAACACTAAAATGTATACAGAACATTGACAATAGCCAATCACACGATGAAACATACAAAATAATACAATAATTATGGTAATGTACACTGTCTGCTGATTCACATACACACATCTACATACACATAATATTTATAAAGAAGCTACTTTTACAGGTATTATCCCTGAAACCATGACCACAACATATGAATGATTAAAACGTCTTTACTACATTGAAAGTATAAAATTTACACCATACATAAAAAGGATGAATAAAATTAATTCGTAATTTTTTTAATTTTAAAGCCAAAAACACATGGAATGTTGTAAAAGCACACCTAATTGTTTTATTTAAAGAAATAATAAAGTGGTGCATCACCACCTAATTCACATATGTCAATATTTATATGAAAATTCACCACAGTTGTTTCTCTGCCAGAGAAAGCATTGATCTCTAATTGTGACACATTCTCAGGTTTATGAGGTCATAAGGTTAAAGTTGTTAAAGAGGCTGCATTCTGATGTCTGTCCATTTTACTTACTTTACAGTAACAAGACATCCCTGTCTTTTTTTCTCCTTTCATTTACAAACATTGCTTCTCAGACTTGCATGTTTCTTTTAAGAGTTAAATTTAAATTACTTATCATGCTTATAACAGACACTCCCGTCTGTAGGATAGAAACATTTAGTATAAGTAGCAGTTTTCAGATCTTGATGTATGTTAAGAAAAGTGAGAAGATGAGTTATCAAACTATGCACTAGGAAAAACTAGTCAAGAAACCATTAATAAAATCACCTATTAAGTTTTAGAATCAAAATAATGTTATGGAAGTGACAAAGATATATAGGATCTGATGGGGAAAGGCCCATTTTGTAACTTATACCCAACCCTGGAACAGTCATGGGACAGATACAAAACACAGCTGAAACTTCTACTGAAATCAGAGTTTCATGAACTTGGTCTAAACACTGAAATGCTTCAAATTTTAACAGCAGAACAATGCATGGACATAAGGTAGACACCATTTACAAGTGGTAGTCATGAAAACTTAGGTATAGATATTTAGTGGCAATCTCATTTCTTTATCATTAAAATAAATATCTGGCAAGGCTATTCACTTTTAAAACTAGCTTCATATAATATATATATTTATGTAACCTGTACTTAGCTTATATATAATATACCATATAATATTTAAAAACATGCAGCCTTAGAGACACTGGCTGCTGCAGCTGAAAGGATACAAAAAGAACTTGCTGTCAACAAGGATGATGCAGATATGTAGCTTAAGAAAGTAAAACATTAGATTCTGCAAGTTTAGAAGAAGAATCTCTCTAGAATAAATTTTAGTTACGAATACAGTGAACATGCTAGAGCTGAAGCTTTATCCTACCCTGACTTGGTAACGTCATTTCAGTTTCTTGTTTTGTAGTTCATGGATATTCATAAAACTACATCGGCTGTTCTCTTTGCTATGTCTCTGTGTAGCCCTATTACCTATATACCTTTAACAATTATGCAGTACTATAATGGAAAGTCTGTTACCACTCTTATAAAAAAATTTATCTTAAATTTATGTAAGTAAAGAGAGATACATTTACTGTCTCTCTGATTATACTAACAGTGGTAACTTCTCCCTGACCTGTTATGTATAAAATCCTCTTTTCAAAAGACAAGAGAATTTAAGTGAAGTCTCAAAGGTTTACATTTGAATATTACAACTCCATCGCGTACCAGCAAAATATTCCAACACTTTGTAATGTCTTGTTTTTTGTGTGATCATTTCAAAGTTGTGCAAAACCCTACAGCAACTTTAACAGCTTAAAAGCTCTGAAACATTCCACACACATTGAATGTTTAAATCAACAGACCAATCAGAATATCTAATCTGTTTATCCTTACAATTAAACTCTGGGCTGTTTCAGCCAGTATAAACTATAAACCCACCACACTGCAACATTTCCTATTCTGAAACATCTCTGATGGGTGCAAACACGACTGAAATTCCCTTTTTCTTTTGTGACTTATCTTTTAACATTAATGCTCTTATATTTCATGGAAAGCTATTTCAAAAATGAAAATGAAAATGAATTAGCTTCCCCACACAGATACAACTGAAGTATTTGTATTCATCTGATACCAATCACATACTGATACCATTATGCAATGTGGCAGTTGTACCAAGCTTATATATTATCACTTAAATTTATGATATAAAACAATATTAACACAGGAATTTCGACTATGATTTAAATATTACACAATATTACGACACACAGAAGTTTTGTGATTAGAGTTAGCCGCGTCTCGGCAGTTCTAGATTTTAACGACCACTCGAATATTGTCACTTATTTCTCTGTACCTGTTACACTTTCATTCAGGTAAATGAATATGTTTTTTCCCCTTTTCATTGTTTTATAGAAATTTTAAGATGAGAGACATACCATTGCTGCAGTAGTTGTAGTGCTGACTAGTGGTGCCAACTCACACACAGCAATAATAAACTTCTCATGAGACTGGGAAAAGATAATTTTAAACCTCAGCCTGGTAAATAGATACACTTATTTAAATATTTTTTCTGCAAGAACAAATATAAATTGCTACCCTGTTATTCTGAGAATATGCCATGAAATAATGGAACATGACACCAATTTCAATCATTGACAACAAAATATTTTTTTCTGCTGTTAGTTCAGATATCAGAATAGTAGTTAGAGAAGTTATGATTGATGCACTACCATGACTATTTATGCAAAAAAAAACCTGACTGAAAGGCTTACAAACCATACACACAGGCAATTTCAAAACACGATTCTTTGAGCCAGGGCAAAATTCTGTTAACTTATTAGGGTAACAATGTCCAGCTAAAGTGAATGGGTAACATGAATTTATTTTTGAGTTTAAAAAACAGAATCTGTCAAACTTTCTTTGTTCGTAAATAATAACAAGAAAACACAAAAGATGCTGATCAGATTGAAATCCATTCAGCTGAAAAAGTTCTGGTACTAACAAACCATCCATAAGTTGAAAGAGTTCATATATAGTTTCATTAAATTTTCACTTTTTGTTTCACATGGGTCCAAAAGAAAAAGCTTCCTTATATGAAAACACTTGTTACAATCAACAATTTCCTGCTATTTTCTGTCTTATGGTTTTCAAGTATAAAATCTCTCAATTTCTAACTCTTCTTTTGCTTAGAATATTTTTCAGAGAGAAAACAACTGTTAGAATACAAGTACCAGTTAATCATATATTTTAAACTTCTTAGAAATATATTAATTGCTTAAAACACATAACATTACTTTCTTATAACATTTTATAGGGTGAAGTCAGTTTCATACCTTGACCTCTAGCTGGACCATAACCCTGACTAGTGCTCATTATTCATACCATGTCCTTGCATACAATCTCTCTCTACCAGGCCTAGGAGATATTTTACTAAACAAGCTTACACTTAAACCAATTCATCTAGAATGTGGCCACTAGAGGAGTAGCCACTTGACAGAGAAAAGCATGGCCACAGACAGGATGATGGTCACATGTGTGGCCATCAGGGGAACTGATGGACTTCTTGTCACCCGTACATCACTTTCTTTCAGAAATACTGAATCGATGACATGAATAATACCATTGGTGCATTCTACATCTGGCCGGAACACATGGATCCACTCACCTTGCCACTCCACATAATAACCTGTAATACCAATATGCATATATCAGTGGGATTTCAATATTGCATAGTCATAAGGTTAAGCACCACTTCAGTGACCACTAATTACTGGAATTTCTTGTATAAGTGAAATTCTCTTATCACTGAATTTGTTTGATTTACTGGAGTTCTGATTAGTTGTGTACTATTATAGGTGACTGGCACTGTTATTCAACTGCATAAGTTATGCACAACAAATGCTAGAATGACTTATGTCAATAATTAATGGAAAGATATATGAAAGGAAGCTGCTCAGGCACTATGCTTTTATTTGCCTGGAGGGACTGAGAAATACCATGTAAACTTTCAATTGAGACAGCCAACCTTTGGGAATAGGTTCAAACCTGGGAATTCTAGAATACAAAGCAGAATTGCTAACCAATTGATTATAATTCTGGGTTTTAACAACAAGAAAGTGTTATTTCACTGTATATCAAGACATTACATTTCATTTATGCAAAAAAAATTTTAGATCACAGAAGTCCAAGTTAAAGTACCTATGTACACCTGTGTAAAATAGTACTAGTAATAAATGCTAAAAATTAAAATATTCGAAGTGGAACAATCTCTTCCCCCACTTAACTCTCTTGTGTTTTAACTTCTACAATCCACATCACTTTGTTTTCTGTATAACATATATTTCACTAATTTTATTCCACACTATATCTGTTTAGTTTTTGAACAACAACCCTAGAAACAAACGAAACAAAACATTATGCACCATCGCAATGTTTATGGTGCAGTGGAACACCGTTACCCACCAAAACAAACACGAACTATAATATGCTCTCTCATACATAGCACAAATGTGCAATCACCAGCAGTACAATCAATGTAGTGTCACATATTATATTTCATTTCATTTCATTTCATTTCTGAACTTGATGTTCGGGTGGTTACCAAAATTGCAGAAACTGGAAGAGTGTAATTTAGCAGCTGAACTGACTGCTTTAGCTGATATAGCCTATAAGATGCTTCTTCCTATTTAGCAAAGAACCTAACTGTAAAGGGGTTCAGTCAATCAATTTTCAGACACCGAAATTCGGTGGAAGTGAGTGGCTGCCTCAGAGAATCCCCCTCTTAACCCACATGACAGGAGGTTGGATGGACCACAGAGAAAGTGTGAATGTGGTAGAAAGAACAGAATCTCATCAGGAGACTAAACTTTAGTCACCGACTCCATAGCAATGTACAGTACTGACTGAATATTATTAAAATAAGGTTCTTATGGTATAACTTATAAAAAAAAATCCTAAAGTTTAAGAAGGAAAATTAACTGTACCACCAGTGTTTGCTTTGAGGTCAATCTTCATGACAGTTGTTATAAACCAGAAACCTCACATGTGAGATTTGAGGTTCTCACAGCAACAGTTCTTCTGGATTGTGAAATCATGTGGTCTCACAGGTAGGTACATTTCTCTGAAATGCTGGAATCTGCCTACATAAAGTCCACACAGTGTAAAACCCAGAACAACACTGACAAGAAACCTCACAGTTTATGGTTATTATCTTTTAAAGAACTAGTCTTTGAATAACCTGTAATAAAATAGATAGTAACTAGGTATGGATGGATTAGTGAATACTCGGAGCAAAGGAAATAATTTTACTCTTCTTCACTGACGTAAAATGCACCTCATGATAAATAGATATGTGTAACAATAATTGATAGTTATATATTAATAGAAATTTACATATAATTTTATATTAAAAACAGTTTTACTAATGTTCAACTTACTTTTATCAGACTCTTTGATCCTGAGTTTAAGGTGGTCACGTACAGTTGGAAGGGTAACCGTGTCGTTGGCAAGACGCTTTAGGTCAGCCATAGTATATGGTTGATCTGACACCACCAGATGTCTCTCGAGTATCTGCCGAACCTGAGAAACAGTATGAGATTATATCCACTGGGACACCTCCACATCTGTGAATTTCTATTAAATAAAGTAAGATGAATTGCAAGGGAGAAACATGCTCTAAATTCCGAGTGGATGCAGGCTTCCAATGTGTACATATGTGTGGATCAATGTTATAGAAATTTCACTGCTAGTCAGGATTTTGTATTTAGAGAGTGGTCATAGAGAGGTCTTACTGCAAATATGTCTTCATGATAATGGACACAAATGACAACTGACCCCTGATTTCATTTTTTCTTCACTTTGAAAAGTTAAAAAATTAGCCAAAATAAATTGTCAACAGAAGCATGAAATATGTGCCTTCTTGCTCCTCCAGCAATTAATACATTTTGATTTAACACTATCCATAAAATAAAAAGTAAACTTTCAGTGTCTTCAAGACCACGTGTTAATTTTAAAATTGAAATATGAACCTATATTGTTGTACATTTTTACCTCTATTTATTAGTAAATAATTTCCTTGTATAGGAACTTAGTAGAGCAGTAAAAATCTATTTGAACATTCAACATACATGGTAGCCATAATCCTTCATGAAAAGCTTCTTGTGTGCTGAAGGAAAATGTATCTCAGCTTTGTGCCAGGCGTAATCTCGAGGTACAAAATATGTAAACCTCTTGGTGCTGTCACCAAGCTCTTCATTGAAGTTGCCCTGCTGGCCAAGATGGTAAGTGTTGCTGTAATAAATGAAACAATGTACACGTTTTATTAGCTGTTATCAATATATATATATATATATATGCAGCAGTTCTTTTCAGAAACCCCTGAAGGTCTCATCAGAAGATCCAAGTTATAACTACACAGTTATACCCATTTCCTTCTTGGTCTCTGAAAGGCATATACTTTTCTTACAAGGACAAATGTTTCCTTTGGGGCTTAAAATTTGCTGATCTATTCTAATATTGATAAGGAATTTAAATACAAACTGACAAAAGAAGTACTGCACTCTCCTTTAACCAATAAAGGGCTTCCTCAGTTACAGTAATTATAATAATCAAAAGTTCAGCCCAGCTTTTTTCTTTTATTTAATTGGTGTAATATTCTATTTTCTCATATATTTTTGTACATTTCAAAATTAAGCTTTTCACCATAATAGTCATCTTCAGATCTGAAAATGTTTACATTTACATTTTGCTTCCAAGCGCATTTTTAATACAGATCCATGCGGCAATTCAGAATACCAACACTGACATATTCACCACCATAAAAAGCTCAAATCTCACTTTTAAATTAACTGCCTTTCCTCCCAATTTTTTTCAAACTGGATAAGCAGGAGTCTAATGTATTAGAAATTTCCAATGTTGACACTCAAGAGGTTGTGATAGACTTGTCAATAAAATTCATCAGTGCAAGAAAATATATTTATTCATAAACCAAATATATACCTCAGTCAGTGCTAGAAGAAGTGTTTGAACCTTAAAGTTTATGATGCACAAAATATATGTCAAAATTCTGTATACAGTTCTCTTATACCATATTTCCAGCTTAACATAATTTAATTTTTACTTCCACTTACTACAAATTGTTAATTTCACTTTAATTCTTAAAAGTCACCTATTTTGATTTCATCTCTCCAGTCATCACATGTTACTTATGGGCATAAAGACAACACATACCAACCACAAAATTATATGTAAACAATGTACAAATTATGTTAATACTGAGTGATTGTCAACTTTTGCAATCACTGAACAAAGCACATGAAGGATATCCCTCCTCATCAGACAAAGTGATAAAGAAGATAGCACACAAATGGCTTCATGTTTCAGCACTTTAGGGAACGTACAGTGTAACAAAGACCATGTCAAATGCTTACAGGTGATTTCTAAAAAACTATTTTCCTTCATTTTGCTTTTGAAATTTTTCATTTGAATCAGCCTTGTATGAGTACAAGAAAAAAGGTAATATACTAGTATGGATGTTAGGTATGAAATAGAGACTGACTGGTGTTGATGTTTACAAAGATCACAAAAAATTTAATTTGTAAGAAATTAAGATTTCTGATTGTGGTTGTATTCTATTACATAGTTACTATATTAAGAAGATAATTATGCAATACAAGACACATACTTACATTGTGTGTCTTCATTTGTTTACTTTGATTCTTTCTCAACTCTTTTCACCTTTGTGCTACAAACTATAAGAAACATACCCATTTATTTCATTGCAGCTCTGGAAACATACAATGGTCCAGAATTATTGTGACACACAGTAAATAAGGCAGTTCTCAAAGATTACTTACTTTAGCATGGGGTCAGACTGAAGCTTCTCCTTTACACTGGTGTATGGAAGTCCTAAAACACGGTCTATTATGTGGACAAATCCATTGGTAGCTGCAATGTTCGGCTCTATCACAGTAGCATTGACTCCACCACCTTCGACAGTCAGGGTTACATTGTGGCCATGCTTAATCACATTGAAGTACAGCTTCCTGCGTTCAGCGGCCGTTTGTACCTGGAATAGCTGGAGTCAGCGACGCCACTCGGCTCAAAGGACCAAACACAACACACAGCATGCAATATTTTATAACATCAAAATGATGCATATTGTCCATTGTCTGAGGTATATTTAATTTGCATGAATTGTTTCAGAAGTTGGTTCTATCCCCATGTTTCCATTTTTCAGACTGATGACAATAGTCAGAATTAAACACAGAACCTTTTGAATACTGAACTTGTGGGCCAACCACTAGACCATTGTGGCAAACTGACAGAGCTTTCTATCCTCTCGCTTTTTAACATTAAAAGAAGACTTCGTGGATTAATACAAAAACTGATATAAACTTTAGAGCACAAACACTGACAGCATAAATTTCAGCGTAATTTAAAAGGGAAAGGCAATTAGCCTATTGCATAATGCTTTAAAATGAAAAGTTTACCAGTGGCATATATCTTCTTTTTTAGATAAATTTCTAGGAGGAAAACAACCTTAACACATTCATTGCCATGCTACCCAGTGGTGATTTAAATGCCTTGTGTCAGCCATTTTTTTGTGTGGGGATGTGTTGAACATGAGCAGAATAAACCTAAATATCTTAGAAACTGGGTAGGATTTGAGGTTTTCACAATGGTAAGCCTGAAAATAGTTGTTTTCTGGGTTGGTAGAAGTTTAGGGTGCCATATCTTGTATACCTATTCACTTTCACATAAATGTTTTACTTTTCCACATACACAAGGCAACCATATGTTCACAAAGGTATATTGAGTTCTTTCAGAGAATATCAGTTATAAATGCAAAAGTTGATATATCAGAGCTTTCCATCATCATCTGTGAAAGTCTGACAGCATCTGAGAGACATCTCTAGGAGATATATGTATATATAAACAGTAAAATGTCATCAATGGGCATGTTTGGCACTGGTGGCATGGGATAAGAAAAAATGCCATTTGATGAGTTTGGAAGTGAGGACAAAACGTACTACCTGGATGTATGTGTTTGTAACTGTATGTCTGTCAGTTTAACACACACCCCCCCCCAAGGAAGTACTGGCTGTTTGTTATGTCAAAGGGATGAATGTTTGCCATTAAAACCGCCCTATACCGCAATAGGGAGCATAAAATTAAGAAATACATATCCACTAAGAGGGGTGGAAAAAATCACCACCCAAATCAGGGATCAAACACAGAGATCCTATCCCCAACTTCAGAAACAATTACTTATGCAAATACAAAAAAATCAAACACTTGTTAAAATCAGAGAATAGGTAGGTAGGTAGGTCAGTCAGTCTGTCTGTCTGTGTAGCAGCAGAAGTATAAGAAAACTTCACAGAAAATATTATAACCAAATGGATGCACTAAGAAAGTCATATACTCCAAACATACCTGGTTCACATTTTCATCCCGAATTTTCTCTACAGTCAGACGCTCATAGACAAGGTGAAGGTTTAATATCTCGCGTAGTTTATCGCGATTATGAACATTGACGATGTTGGCAGTAGTCCATGCCAAGTTTGATGGTGCAAACAATGTGAGGTCTCTCAGCTTAGTGATCTGCTGCATAAATTCTCCACCTTCATCTTGAATCTTATTATAGAACTCATGTAATGGTCCATCCTCCTGGTCCTGCACAGCACAAGGAAACATGGTCAACATTTGCCACCATTGTGCTTACAAACTATCGATGAGAGTTAAATTCAAATGAGTTCTTCTTTATTAAGATGGGATAATATTATCTGTAATGAAACATGACTCACCAGACATTTATTTCCTCTTATATTTAAATGTATAATATGATTACTACTAATTTGAAAACAAATTATCAAGTCTTACTTAACCATATTTCATTACAGTGATTATTCCAAGTACTAATTAACATGACAAAAAGAATCTGATGTACATTGTATTTGAAGTATACCTTTGTCAATGTAATGTTAGATTCACTTAAATGTGTGCAATCTCTCAGGTAATGACAGATATAAATTACCTCATCTTATATAAAAGAAATTTATAAGGCCTTGTCTCAACAAGCCACAAAGATACAAAATATAATTAAACATCAAATTTTCATCTTTGCATTTCTGCAGTACAGAAGTGACAATTCAGTGCTTGTTTGGGATAAGTTTAAGAATTAAAACATGTTAAAAATAAATGGAAAACAACTTGGAAACCTGAGCAAAGGAAACACCATGTTAACCACTGTGTTCAGATGCTGTGAAGGCTTCAAATCTTAAACATTACTTGTCTGTTTCAGTTGGAGGATGCTCATCATAATCATGATGATTTGATCATGATCATCATAATCATGATGATTTGATCATGCCTTTTTTTCAGGCCACGTACTCCAAAATCAAGCTATTCTTGGGTGGGTTAACTTTTTACACTGCTACAATGCAGTGCAGAATTATGTAACCATTTTTTCTAAAAATACAAATAAATAAAAAACGTATTTTTACTACACGCCTAATAACAAAATACCTATTCTATTAGAAAAATAACACTTAGGAATTACTTTTTTATTTGCAAGCCAATTCTTATTTAATTTGGATGCGAATCTCTTTTATGGCTACAGTAAAAAGTAATCATGCCAGGGGGCACTTCCACTGGCACTGATTAATGGCCAAGATAGCAAATCACGTGAGGCTAATTAAAGAACTCTTGTAAAATTTATGAAAGTCTGCATACAAGGCAGTGATTCCGAGTTTTACTATTGAGCACAAGCTGAACTTCAGATAATATTCAAACATTCACTGAGAACCACCATTCACCAATAACACTATGTATGCCACAAAAATCAAATATGAATTATTTGATTATAAAATATGGTGAGTAATTCACTTTAAATATTGGCCAACACGCAATACTTTAAGATGAAAATTCCTTGTTTTAATGAATAAGCATACTGATTTATTTGCTATACTCATGCAAAAACTAAATTTCATTTTATGAAAATTTTTGTTGCAATAGGAATTGGACCTACATTCCTGTATGAATATGTATTTATATGTTTACAGGTTTGTAACAGGTGTACACATATTAGCTAAGTATTTGACAATGATATACACTGATCGCTTTGCTTTGTCTTCTTGATTGCACTTAATATATCTAAACCAATATGTATATTACATAAATACAACATATTCAGAAATTTATGTTGAGTACTTATCACAACACAATTCTAACATATAGTCCGCAACTGTAATCTTGAGACTTGCGGGGTGAGGAAGTGGGGTGAAGGAGGAAGGAGGAAAGATAGCGTCTGCCTTTAACGCTTCGGACTTCCTGCATTCCTTGCAAGTCTCAAGATTACAGTCGAGTACTGTACTAGAAACATATAATCTACAGATGATGGGCCCAGAAATCCATCTACACTCTTGGGCCAAATATCTAGAGACCTTCCACAATTACAAGATTCTATTTATTATTTATGCTTTAGGAATTTGTATAAAGTAATAGAAATACATCCAGAATTCAGTAAATGTAATATGCACAAAAATATGTATATGTACACACATTTCACAAAACTTTCAAACTTTAAAACTGATACACATATGAAAATAAAATATAAACAAAAGAAGTAATAAATTAATTAAAATGCCAGCAAGTACAGAGATTTGTTAAAGCTCCCTAGAAGCTCTGAAATATTTATCACTACAATACCCAATGCACCCAAAAGAGCTGAGAAATCACCACCAGTATGTCACATGAAGCTTTACACACAATGCAAGTCATGGTAACATACATATAGTGGCCTCAGTTTAAAGCTCCAGTACCATAGCCAACTGTTCCACTTATACTTTCTCGCAACAATTTAAGACCAATTCTTGGCTGTAAAAGTTTTATTTCCTGTTTACATACCAGTTATCAGGACAATAATATAGTAAAATCCTCTATATACATTATATACATTCCATAATTAGCATTAGGATGTAATATCAATTTACCTACCTTAATCACAATATATACACAAGTGTACAAATACAAGTAGAAAACCAATAACCTACAGGCAGATGATACTGAAGCAAGTAACTGCTTCTGCTGAGTTCACTTAAGTCAGATCAGATCATATGGAGGTATTTCTAAAGAATATTAAGCAGGAAAATGAAAGTTAATCAAGAACGATCTATAAAATTCAGGTTCGACAGAAGCTTAACAGGGGGACAGACATTTAATTCACACAACTTCAAACAATTCTAACAGTTTCAATGTTATTACTCCACCAAGCAAATTACGCTGGCATTACTATTTAGTCACCAAGTATTATCTCTTTTTGGGTGCAATTTCAGGTACTGTAAAGTGAAGTGAGGTGGGTGAGGGACTTCTGGACCCTACAATTCTACTACACATCAACTGATGTAGAATGGCTTAGCCACAGCTGCTGTTTTGTGCCAACTCCCTAGATTTTGGTGCAATGGGTGATGTGAGAATGAAGAAATTCCACACACTGGGCAGCCATCCTACAGCAACTGACAAGTGTCTACCAATTTGACAAATGGAAAGATATCTCAGAGTACTTACAAAAATACTCTATTCAGGCCATGCAGTCCCCCATTAAGATGAACGAACGTCACATGCAAAGCAATGAAGAAGGCAAAAAACGTACATTAATCACATGTAGGAACACTCAAAACAGTAACAACTTTATATGAGTATGATACATTATGGAAATGTAACAGCAGTATACAATGTGAGCAGTTGAACTGAAGGAAACACTAAAAAGTTATTTAAAAAATTATCATAATAAAGGAAAGTCATTTGTAAAGTCGGGGGGGGGGGGGGGGGGGAAAAAACAACACACAGAAAGCACACAGAGTGAGTGCCTGTCAATCTGTTTGTCTAAATGATATGAATTCAATGTAAAACATTGAACACTTCCTTTTCAGAAGAAAAAGCAAGTTCATAGTTAAATAAAACAATTCTATGAAATATCTGACTTCAGAACAAGAATTAGAGGATCCAAACTATTAATGTTTAAACAACAATCCTTGCTTTGTGTTCTGCTACTTGCTGAGTAAAAATTATCACCTGGCCTTCTACTACTGCCTCATAAGTGGAAGGTTGAGGGAAATATTTTTTACTGAACAAACTAGCAATCAGGTAAGGATTCAGTGTTGGTCGGCTATTTTATTTTTCTTTTCCATATTGGGCCTCAGTCCTCATAAGGGACTTGTATGAAGGTTTAGAAATAAAACCAACTAAAATATATATGGAAAAAGAGTGCAAGTATGGAGTGACGAATAATTATGTGCTTTCCTTTTGTATATCTTGTGAAAAGCCAGTTCCTTATGAGAATGAATCAAATCAATATGGTAGGTGATTCTAGGCATGGTGCAGGTGGGTAAAGAAAAACAAAGAGTGACAGAGGCTGAAGGAAATAACACAGGGATTCAGAGAACCACAACATTGCATTTTACACATGTACAATAATATCATTAATAAAATGTCTGTACAGAACACTGTGGTGCATCAACTACTATTAAACAAAAGTATTTATAACAACAATGAAAATAAATGTAAGCTATACAAAGGCATGCAAAAAAGCAAAATGTATAATTCACACACTCACACATCCATGCAAATTATTCTTTTGCCCGATTACTTAAAACATTACATGTTAAAAGCATGCAAATTTTTGATGATGATAATAATAATAAACATTACAAAAAAGAAAAAAATATGTGAGTCCAGAAATCCCTTTCAACTTGCTGCCCCAGAATTCAACTAACAAAATACACATTCAACCTGACCTTCCATTCACTCACACATCCCTCTAAAAAATATGTACAATCCATAAGTTAGTTATATCACACCAAGGCATGTCTTAAGTTCACTTCTGTTCTTTGTATTTAGAATTACGCAAAGCAAAACTTTTTTTATTGAATCCTTACTGTCTAAAGTCATGCCTTGAATACGGAAATATTATCAAGTTTGTGTTAGGCAACTATATCTCAATATCAGAACATCATGCACCTCATTTTAGGTAGTCTAGCCCTTCTAAGCACCAGAAGTTCTCTGATTAATTTCTCTAGCCCCATTACAGCTAGATGACTATACAACCCAGATGTATATGATACATATTTACAATATACTCAGGATACAGGAAGTCCACCAACAGTTTCTTTACTGAGCCCAGCCATTATACTTAATATACTTTGAAAAGCAAATCTGTAAACATAATCATTCAAGCTACAAATAACCTAATGGGTTCTCCTACAGTTGATTTTTTTTTGTAGGAATTTCAATTAAAATACTTTTCATAAGTAAAGTTCCTCCTGTCAAGAACATTCAATTTATGATGCAGTCACAAAAGTTGATTTATGCTCTTATCAAATCAAATCCTTCAGCAGTGAAGAATCTTATTGACAGTTACACAAGGAGAGTATAACACATAGTACCATATGGACCAAATCCCACACCCATGTACACACAAAGAACATCAAATACTGCACCCTTCATCAGTCAATGCTTGTCTTTACTGTCACTCTGGTTGCTGAAAATGTCAGCATTTAAATAAATTCATGTAGTTCTATCTGTGCACGCACACAACATTTATATGTGTCACTGGATCCCTGGACTATTCCATCCTCTAATTGTTTGCATTTTCATATATATGTTGTGCACCTATGTTTGTAGTGCTTTCTTATGTAATTTTCCATATCTAAGATACGCAGAAATAATTAATTTTTAAAACTACAAATAACCTATATCATAGTTACTTGAAGATAAACTCTCTTACTTCTGTTCTCAAGATATTATCTCAGGTCATGTAATTGCATAAAGCAACTAAAACTCAAGGCCCAATACGACAAGATCAGTTATTTACAATTCATGTGTGACACTTCTGACTTGGTTAATCCCTGACTAAACAATTCAATTATAAGAACACAAAAAATTCAATATATGCAAGGCACACAACTGAATCCAACATATTAATCTGTCCCAGCAATTACCACATACTAAAAAATCATCAAAAATGCAACCAATTCATACCAGTCCCAACTTCTTAATTTATAAATCAAATTCAATTGCAGGAGAAATTCAAGAAGCCAGCATATAGTAATCTAAGAATGGGAGTGTTTAGAAAACAGTCCCACTCATAATTGTATGACAAATGTGATAAACACAAAAATCAGGTTATGTGGGTACTTCAAATGACAGTTAATTAAATGCTGCAAGTATATTTGACATGGCTGTAATAAAAATTAAAACTGATATTAAATACAACTTCCAAAAAACTGGACTCCCTGTATGCCTAAGTATGTTAATATGAGATACATTTTGTTTTCTGTACACTACTACTGCTCTAGGTTGAATGCCATGCAAACTGGTTGTCATGGGTGGGGGGGCACTCCTTGTGGTCTGTTAATCTCACCCATGCAATTCAAATATATTGCAGGTTAGCACCCTGCAACAAGAACCAATCTAGAAGTCACTACTTTCAGTACAAAGAAGATATGAGGAAAGTTGTTTTTATTTTGAAGTAAGATATTTTATTTCATGTCAGATATTTCAAAAGCCAAACATATTCATGGTAATATGAAAATATCAAGCGTTTGACAGATTCAGCTCCAAGTATATTATAATATGCATTCAAAGGAATGTTACATTCTAATATTTTCTTGTGGTAACATAAAACCCAAGAAAAATATTGTGTATGTTAACCAGAGGACATTACAAAGATTCTCTGTGATTATAAAACATTTGCTCATGACAGACGCAGTCAGTTTCAAGTTGAACCATCTAATCTGTATGTTCATATATAACTTCATGTAATTTGGAATCAGTTTACTTCCTTAAGTTACCATCTTGTCTGTAGTGAAGGCCTGGATGACTATCTGTTTGCACATAACACCAGTTTAAATAGTGAACATGAATGCAGTAGGTAATTACAGTGAATTTAATACTATAATGGCATATGTGATAAGAAAATAGAAGTATCATAAAGTTACATAAATGACAGCCACTGAAATTTTACATTCTCAGGTTATAATAGTAATTAGAATATTTTTGCTAGAAAGCAAGTTGAGAAAAGTATTCAAAAACTTTTAATAGTGTGTAAATACACACTAAGTGGTCTCGAGTTAAAAGATTAATTTCTTCTAGGGATAACTTTGCACATGGGAAGTAAGAGAATTAGTTTGATAACTAAGGAGTACTGCTATTAGGACTGATATATTTTGCTTTCTGTATACAACGTAATATTCGAAACCAAGACCTACTTTTTTTCTTGGAGCAATTTTAACTCCCTCCTTAATAAAAAATGTGTAAATGAAGACTCAAACTTCATATAAAAATCATGCTAGATGGTATATCACTTAACTGCCTACTATAAAACAACTCTGAATTACACTGGTCTGAATGCTGATGTAACTATTCAAATTTATGAAACAGAAGTTTGGGGTGCTGATAATATTGCAATTACCTGCATATATTAGTCTCATCTTAGACAGTCAAATTACATATACAGCAATATTTCACTGTAAATGAGCATCACATAATAGTTTATGCTGCCTAATATAAAACAGGAAGGGTCAATAAATGGCAGGGTTATAACAGATTAAAATCTCAATCACAACAGCATGAAACAAGCCGGAACTGGGTCCTCAAAACCTAACAGCTTTTTAGATACTCAAAAAAAATACTTGCCTTTTATGGAATATGGAGGCTCATTACAGTGTTTACAAGCACTGGTCACTGATCCCTACCCTGCACCAGTTGAATCCAATCTATGATCTCACACTTTATTTGATTAACATCCACTTAATAGTGTCTTTTCATCTATGCCTAGGTGCAGTTCTCCAGTTAAAATTTAGCATGAATTCTACATTCACCACCCATCTCTTCCTCCCGAATTTAATAACCCTAACAATATCATATTCTCGAATATAGTACCTCCTCTCATGGTAAAGAAAGTTTCACACACATACTAAAAACAGATAAAAGTATAATTTTTTATATTAAAATCCTCACGTTTTTAGATACAAGACACAAAGATTCTAAATTGATTGGTAATTGAATCTCATTTATTTTTTATTTGTTAACGTAATTCCAAAATATCTGAACTCCGCCACATTTCTAAGGTTTTATTATTAGCTACAGACGTATTTGAAACAAGTTAAATATCTTCAATTCTGGCAGTAATAATGTAATAACATTATAATACATGTATCACATGTTTGAAATTCTAAGTGAGCTAAATAAATGTACAGAACTGATCCTCTTGAATTCAATTTAGATGCACCAGACATAACCTCATTCTCCTGAAAGCAGCTTAGAGACTGTATGTTATGGTGACCACTCAACCTAGACGCAGCTTGGTGTTCATGAGGCACTTTTATACTAAAAAGGAAAAAACCACCAAGAAAAATCCTTTGCAAAATACAACACACAATCAACAAAGACTACAACCAGTACAGTAAGAAGAAAAATTCATCAGCCTATTGTCAATCAGTGACAGCGGAGTGAGCATTCAACTAACATTTACTGTAGGATTTGAGGTTTTCATGGCAGTGAGTCCAAAGATGGCTGTTCTTGGGGTTGTTGCACCATGTAGTCTGGTAGAAGTTAACCACCATTTCAGAAGTCCTTGCTGCCTCCATCATTAGGGCAATGACGAAGGCAGCAAGGACCTCTGAAACGTTAGTAAACTTCCACCAGACTATATGGTGCAACAACTCAAAACAGCCAATATGTTCTGTCTTTACTGTTTATACTTGTGACATATTAATTGTTATATGTAACTGGATTATTTTTATTTGTACCGTCAAATACAACCCATGAAAATACAAAATATATTTTCTGTCACATTTAATTGGAGAAAATGCATTCATTTAACAACTTATAATTGAATATAAATTTTAAATTCAGTGATACTGATCACTGTACTGATAATAATGTCTTTATTATCCTGTTAAATTATCTTAGGCCCATAATTTACACTGCAGAAAAAAGTAAGATGTCATATTTTATTTATGGCAATTTTAAGTTAATGTTAAATACATTCTGTTGATATTATATTGAAAAGTGAAGTAAAACTTCAGATCATCAATAATTGTTGCTGAAATATAATGAATAAATAAAAGTAAACCTGTAAGAATTTTTTTAATTACTTAATTAACCTGAAAGTTATTTTTAAAATTCTTAAAATTACCAGAAGAAAAGTTATATCAATCATTACAAACCTCAATAAATGTCTGCTATTATTTTTAGTATAAAAAATTGAAAAATAAAACTGAAATTATAACTTTTTAAGTGCAAAGCTAATATTTAGATTACATTTATTACTTTTTTAGCAAATGTCACTGATTATGAGGAAAGAAATATGGTACATTAAGATTGAGAGCATTTTTAAAAGTACAGTGTGTTTACTGATAAACCTGAATTCAACTGTCACTTCCCAGCTTCCGGCTGGAACTACACGATTCACCGCCAAGCACTACGAGGACTTCCCAATACAAGTCAAGTTTTGCTCCACAAAAATAATATCAATTTACCAAAATTACATCAATTCCTACTGGGAGCCAGGAAGTGAAAGTTGCATTCAACATTATCAGGGAATGCACTGTATATCCTCTACATAATGTCAGAAATTGATCAATGTATGAAACCCTCAGTGAATATTTAACAGTAATATATACAGAAAGCTCAAAATCATCTATTCATTTACCTTTCTAACCCATTAATAACCAAAATACTTAAAATCTCATTTGTACACTTTGATTTATTACTATACGATTTCAAATTGATGTGCATCTTTAAAATGCATTATGAAAACATAATAACAATATAAGAAACTTGCTTTTACACAGAAATGGCCTACATTCATAGAATTTGGATAAATAAGAAGTTTGATACAATATTCTTCAATTGCCCTCATTTAATTAAGTGATGGGTTTCCATTACTCCATTCTGCACACATGAAGAATAAATATAAATCAATGGAAAAATTAAACAAGAATATTCTGGGTGACACTGTCTCTTGTATTTTTAACTAACTATTCTATGCAATGTAAGTCAATAAAACATCAAGCATGAATATTAAGAATATTACTGAGATTAAGTCTGTGTAATGTTTCTATGTTAAAATTATAGTAAAAAGTTAAA